TACATCATCCAATATGATAATTGACGACTACGTAGTTATATCTACCACGCTGACAGTTTTAATGAAAACCGCCTGCAGTAGCTAAGCGATGGGGCTCGTGCTATTCTTCGCTGGACCAGCTGGACAATGACCATTGGTCCAAGCATGCGGCTGCAGGGCTGCCATGGTTGTGGATGAAACCACCCAGCCCCTGTTAGTGCTTACTTGCAGTAAGGTCGAAGGGCCTACAAAGAATGCCTTCCAACACTGAGGATCCAAAGAGGCGCACTATAGAGGTCATTGCGCACTCTAGCCAAGGGCGATGACTATGGAGATGCTCCTTGAATAGCGCGATTTCACAAGTTATGGTCATCCAATCTGGGGTGCTTACTTAGCATCCTTTAAAAAGTCTTAACGTAATCGGTAAGCGAGCCGCCACTGCAACCGAGCCGCCACTTTCCCATCCAATTCCAACGTGTTCGAATTCAAAGCTATCCAAACATCTACTATGCCACCAAAAATGCGTACAATTGCAAGGAATTCAGCAGAGCAGGAAGGCAGGATCCTACTTGCAATATCAGCACTAAAAAAGAAGGAAATATCTACAGTTAACAGGGCTACGCAGATATTCAATGTCCCTCATTCAACTCTACGCAATCAGTTAAAGGGCAGCAAATACCGCAATGAAGCACGCGCAAATGGCCATAAAATGACTCAGAATGAAGAGGAATCACTTATTAGATGGATTCTATCTATGGATCAACAAGGAGCGGCCCCCCAACCATCCCATGTACAAGAAATGGCGAATATCCTGCTCGCGCAGCGTGGTTCAACTCCTATACAGACTGTTAGAGAGAAATAGGTATATAACTTCATTAATCAGCATGATAAGATCAAAACTCGGTTCTCTAGGCGCTACAATTATCAGCGTGCTAAATGCAAAGACCCAAAGATTATCCAGGAATGGTTTAATCATGTCCAGATCACTATAATGCAACATGGGATAGCAATAGAAGATATATACAACTTTAATGAAACTGGCTTTGCAATGGGCTTAGTAGCTACTGCTAAGGTAGTGACAAGAGCTGAGATGCTTAGTTAGCCCTTTCTTATCCAGCCAGGGAATCGCGAATGGGTTACATCTATAGAGTATATTAACTCTACTAGATAGGTGCTTCCGCCATGCATTATCTTTAAGGGAAAGGTCCATATTGAGGGCTGGTATCAAGATACAGCCTTACCAGCAGACTGGCGGATTGAGGTTAGTGAGAATAGATGGACAACTAATTAGATTAGATTATGATGGCTTCAAAACATCTTTATTCCTGCCACTACCGGTCGTATGACTGGTAGATATTGACTGTTGATTCTTGATGGCCATAGGAGCCATCTAACACCTTAGTTTAATTAAATCTGCACTGAGAATAGTATTATTCCACTCTGCATGCCTGCGCATTCATCACATCTCCTGCAGCCTCTTAATGTTGGCTGTTTCTCTCTGCTAAAGCGTGCGTATGGCCGCTTAATTAAGGACAAGATGCAACTTGGTTTCAACCATATTAATAAGCTTGACTTCCTTGAGGCCTATCCACAGGCTCATACAGCAATCTTTTCATCAGATAATATCAAAAGCGGCTTCTCAGCAACTGGATTAATACCACTGAATCCAGATCGGGTGCTCAGTCAGCTTAATATCCAGCTTAGAACCCCTACACCACCAGGCAGCTAATTAACTGATTCCATCCCAAAAACACCTTACAATCTTAAGCAGCTAAAAAAGCAGGAAAGCACGCTTAAGAAGCTACTTAGGGAGTGTATATATAGTCCTCCTACCCCTACTAAGGCTGCGCTAGATCAGATTATCAAGGGGTGTGAGATAGCAATGAATAACACTATCCTTCTTGCAAAGGAAAACCAGGATCTACATGCTGCACATGAGAAGCAGCTTCAAAAGAGGAAGCAATCTAGGAGGCAGATAGAAGCTACAGAGGGATTCTCTATCCAGAAGGGGCAGGAGTTCATTTAGTGCAGGAATCAGGCTGATGAAGCTATCCGATCTATACCTGCAGAGTAGGTAGTAGATGCAGAATAATGCCCTCAACGGGCCCCCCCGCGCTGCAGTGACTGCCATATTCTAGGCCATAAGTGATTGCAATGTCCGCAGCGCAAGAATAACTAGTTTTAGAAATATAATCATGTTTTAGGGGGTGAAAATAGCTTTGATTTCGGCTCCGGCCAATCTTGGGTGGCGGCTCGGTTGCAGTGGCGGCTCGCTTACCGATTACGTTATTGGACCTTGCTTTATCTAAATATTAACTATTAGCAGCCTTACCTGCTTAGTATTAGTCCCTTCGATCATATTAGTCCTGAACTCTTATCCTTATGCAGCGTGGACAGCAGGGGAACTGTCTCATTAGATACTACAGACCAGCTGTGGCCTGTACTGAATGCTGATGATGGAAGATCTGATGTGACCAGGTGACACCTTACTATCAGAGAAGGTGGCTCTAAGGTGTATCTATATCTATTGCGTCCCAATATCGGCTAATCTGATATTATTCCACCTGCTATAGTGCTAGTGGTTGTCCCAGGCTTGTAGTCTAGCATAAATGATTCCTATAATTACCACTAAGTAATAATAACAAGTTTTAGGGATTTGGGAGTGGCTCCCTGGATAGCAACCTCTTATTAGACTAGATGCCTTTATCCCTGCTGATAAGCTCATCCATCTTTGCTGAGCCTAGTTCAGTCCTCTCATCTGTAACACAGCCTCTAGCCTGGGACATCACATCTCTGGAGACTGGCATTAAAGTCTTAGCTAAGTCTAACTCTGTGGCTAACCTACAGGGCCAGGTCAGAGAGTTATAGAACTAATGTACTGCACTGAATTACTCTACTATGACCCTGATAGATTCTACATTAATTCTAAAGATCTATAACAGATGCAGAGGAAGACCCATGATCTTGAGCTCTTATTAGCCAGATTAAAGATACCTTTAAAATAACTCTATTAGTCCCAGGCCTTATACACCTAAAGTATTAAGCCTAATCCCCCTATAAGCCACTTCTAATGTGTAACTAGAGTTATATATTAATACTTTCAAGTCTGTGATTTCCATACCGCACATACCCTTATTCTAGTAAGAGTATAGGTAGTATTGGAACACTCCAGATAGTATTTGTAATGTTGTTCGATGCAAGTTGCTACTGGCCATGGTAATCAAAATGTTGTTTGCCCCTGCCTTTCTATCAGTAGGCAAGTTAGTAAATATGCAGTCTTAGGCATTGATATGGATGCACTATAGCTAATAATAGCTTTTTTAAAGGATTGTGCTTCATGCCCAGCTCAACCTTGATATTCCGTAGGTTGGGTTCCTCCTACTTCTATATCACTATACCAGTGCTACTGACATTAGTGATTAGCATTTCTAGCTATTAGAGGACTGTTTGGTGCAGATGGCTATGAAACTTAACCTCCATCATGACCCTCATACCTATAACCTTGCAATGGTTGGCACTGAGGTTGAAGTCTAAAGATGGCTTAGATGGCCCTGCTCAAGCTGTTGCTCTAGGCTAGTCTAGATGCCAAACTTCCTGCCTCACTGCCCAGTGACAATGGGTTTAATACCAAACTCCCTTCGAGTTTGTCCAATACTAAACTTGGTCTGGTAGCTACGCTGTTGTAATCCCAAGCCCCGCTCCTTCTTCACGCATTCCACCATGCAGATTCCCGTCACTGAGATATAGAGGATCCAGATTCTAAGTCAAGCTCTTTGCATACGGTCAACATTTCGCAACAAGAGGGGAGGCTCTCCTACCTTACAAGCTGTCGACGAGCTGATCAGGGTTCACCACTAATGGAGAGCGGAGTATTCATACTTCTCGGTCATTAACGCATCTTTGCTTAAGCCCGAACGTATGCAGACTCTCCCAACCGATTCGGATTGCCATAATATCGTCGAAGAAATCTTGAAAATAGAATATCCAAGAGTGGTCATATGTTATTGGAGTGTTGAATGTGGGAATGAATATGTGTCTCATTTCCCATCGAGGGCCCATGGGCTCACTACATGCTACAGTAAGGCGTGATGGGAGAGATACCAATAGTATTCATTCTTTCCGCCCCGCGACGGCCGTGCCATATAACAAGTAGAAGCCTGTTTACCGTGTCCTCCTCGCTTATCACTTCACTGCCACCTCCTGAGAGCTATAGCACCATCAGCAGCCACCAAAGTGGATGCTTGGAGTATCTGAGACGGCGGCCGTGGATTTTCTCGAAAGGAAGGGCTTCTTTCAATTGGATGCGAAGAATACTCTCCGCTTGAAATTACTCCAGACTGTCGGCATTGAGAAATGTTTTCCAGGATTTAGTACTAAATCAAAGTTTCATGTGTCTGGAGGGACGATAACAACTCTCATCAGTTACTTATGGGACATGTCTTGCGAGAACGGGGCCCTTTTGGTGACAGGGGCAACGTGATTTTGGAGATACTACTTTTCGATGACCCTGCGTTCCACGAGGTTCCCCTACAGCTCCTTATATGGCGGACATTGTGGAGCTGCAGAGTTTGAATGAAGAGAACTGTCTTGTCTTCCGTCAGGCTAAATTCTACATGTCCACTGGTGGAGTGGTATTTGATGTCCGCTATGAAAGGGGCATACATGTCAGAGGCATGATGAACTTCTTTGTCAAGAAGGGAGAATTCGATGGCTAAATCTGTGAAGATGGGGTCAGAATCAAGGGAGGCATCGATAACTTAAGCATCGGCGGTCTTGAGGTTCGGTCAGCCACGACTGGGGCGAAGCGGGCGATTATGGACATCGAAATGACAGGTGAAGCAAAATATTTTTGTGGATGGCAGAATCAGCTTCCAGGCCTTTGACCTGAGTATCTTCATCGACGCCCATCTGCAGGAGAAACGCTTGGACGCCGATATTTCAGTTCAGTTTACTGAGCATATACTCCTTCACCTGAAGGCGAAGGTGAATGTTCCAGATTCCAAATCATTGACACGGTTTTCATGGAATTCGAAGCAGAGATCCGTCCCGATCTGATCGGAGCGATCATTGAGGGGATCGATCAAGTTATTGCTGCCATTGGAAAGCAGGCAGCAAAAGCAATCCAGGACATTGAGAAGGATCTCCAGTGCCAGGTTGACAAGAAAACATCCGAGTTGCGCGCAATGGAAGAGGAACTGAACCTTCTTAAACAAAAAGTCGAGGAAGAAGTACGGACTCGACTGACAAGAATCGAGGAAGATAATAAGGAAAGAAAAAGGTTGGAAACAACGCAGTCATCGCAGCCCAGAAAGAGAAGGACACAAACGAGAACCAATCAAGAAATTTGCAATCGGAGAAGAGGAGACCGAGCGAAAGTTTATGGATAAAATACGCGAGAAAGAGCTTCAGTACAGGCGCAGGGAAGAAGCAGAGCGCCAGAGACAGAATGATTTAAAGGAAAAGAAGAGGTTGGAAGACGAGAAAGAAAAATCATTCGGTGATAAATTGAGGAGCAAACAAGAGGCGGACGGGAGTTGGGCGTGTTGGGAGGGTAAGTTGATATCTCTCTCCCCAGTGGTACTAGCGCTCACCGTGGTCCATTGACAGCAGAGAAAAAACGCCAATCGGAGGAGGTCGAGAGGCGCAGGCAGAATGCATGGCGCGAATGGGAGAAGCCATGGTACTGGGGACAACTCCTTGAGATCGCCTTCTTGGTAAGACAGCAGTCGAAGCCTTCCCGTCCAAGAGTGAACAATTGCTAACGGCCTCCCCACATAGAACAGGTTGACAACGGCTGCAGATGCTGAGCTAGAATTAATCCGCGCAATGAAAGCAGTTGATCATGCACCGGAGAGGGTGTTTAAATCCGAGGGTTGGCTGAAGCGAGATAGAACTCGATAAGATTGGAGAGGACCTTCGCAGACACTGATTTCCTGGACCATACCATAAAGGGTGAACACTACGAGGCTATCCAGGCACTGCTAAAAGATGAGGAAAGGGAACTGAGTGAAAAAATCGCCGGAATCACAAAGCTCCCAAAGAGATAGAAGAAAAGCTCAGAAAGGCCCGTCAGCAACTGGAAGAAAACAGAGGCCACATTACGGAGAAAGAGGAGGAGTTACAGAAAGAAGTCGAGAGGTTAGACGGCGAGCTGCGAACAAGGCCCTTCGCGGAGGCGTATGACAAGAAGCTGCAAGAGCACGAAAGTGTCAAGGCTGTGGTGGAGAGTATTCAGAATACGTTGAAAGAGTCCGGACAGGTATTGACGAAGCTGTGCAGGCAGCACATGAAAATGATGTGTTGAAACAGGGCATTCCGGCCGTCGAACACATTGTTGTGTATGGTTCTACCGACGTTGTCAAGAACAAGCCACTCACGTTCAAAGTCCTCAGTTTTCAATGCTTCCACCTTACTTGTCTAATCTTCGGTTACATGTGTCCTGCAAAAATTGGTCTGGGAGATAACTGGTTGCCATGTGTATTTCGACACTATATCGCATTCTTCGTCGCCTTCACGTAGTCAGCTACGACGGATTGAATTTGACTTTGTGGCATAGCCATGGGATTGGAACATTATCCGTCAGCGGCACAGGGCTTGAGGACAAGATACCATGACCGGCTTCTCGCTGCAACGACGTCTCATCCGCGGCACGACCGGGGGGCAAACAATTGAGCAGAATTGTAACAACCTCGCGCGTGCACGGCATACACTACCTTTCTCCATGCTTTTACGTGTTCGTCGTTCCAGAGACCGGGAGAATGAGGGAAACCCGCTCGGGGAATTTAATGTGGACTCTGTGATTAACAAAGTTCTTGGTATTGCAGCCCTCTGCAAATAGAATTCTACAGCCAGAGAAGATTGAATGTGATTATCATCTGTGCGAAAATGAGTTATAGGAGCCATGACCATGTGGTGCATAAGCACCACATCAGCTTATACGGAGGGGTGGGTGTAAACGATTTTGCATTGTTACTGGTTGAGAGGTCTTAGAATAATCAAGTGTTAGGTTAGGCAATTCAATGATAAGAGGCAAGTAAAGTGTTTGTGATGTGTTTTGTGATGTGTGGAATTGCCCGGAATCTGTTAAGCAGTGATAGCACAGGGGAAGCAGCTGGGGATTGATAACTTCTTAATACTTATCATTTGGTCGTTTCAGCATTGTTTACGTCATTGGCAAAATATGAACTTTCCTATTAGTATCACTAAGAGATCATTACTGAGGGCCATGAGCCTAGGAAATGCATTACGACATAATGAATGTTCTCATCATGTTTTCTGTTGACTGTTAATCTAGACTCTGATAGCCTTTGTATTTGTATGGTTACAGGAAAATTAACAAAAGGGGTTAGTCCATGTTTAATGAGTTTGCTATTATTCCATCCCGTTACATGAAGTGACATGATCCATTTTGAAAAATCATATGATTCACACTCTAACAAAAGGCATGACATCATGATGTTGTTACATCCAGACCAACATTTGCCCAATAGTTCAATAACTTGGCGATTCATATCTAACTCAGCCTCCCCTTCTCAAAGCTGAAAAATGTTTGGTACTTTCCTCCTACACAAACAGCATTTTTATATCTCTCCACAGGCAACTGCCTACTCTTATGAATCTCTCAGTCGGAAATAGCCATTTCCGCGAATCATAAAAACGATGGCCATCCCGCGAATTGAGCACTACATGACGGATATTCACGCCCACTGGGAAGGGACCCATGCGCAGGATTGGGCTGAGGTCGATCTAATCGGATATGAGAATGCCATGGATGAGATGTATCGCAAGTTGTGTGAAAATCCGGATGCTGCTCTAGTCCAAGTTGGCCATAGGTCGAAACTGCTCAGTGATCATGGCCGTGACTATCGGTTCAATGGGAAATTCACAAGCGAGCAGACTAAACCAGAACGCAGTCACCATGATTATAACCATTTTGGAAAATTGATGAAATGGGAAGGCGATCGTTGGTACAAGTATGATTTCGAAGTGGAAGTGACAGATCACATCAGATCTGAATGACGCGGGGGTATCAAGCTTGGATTGTTAAGGGCTTTAAATGGAACAATCGAACCATTTGATGGGCGTCATTTCCGGAATGACTGGGGGGTCAGTTGAGTACTATGCTCAGCTTTTTTCGAGATCAGCTGGATCCAAAAATCCTATCAAAGAAGGTATATGCAGATTATTTGGAGACTTGCAAAATTGCTATGCCCACAGGACCAATGTCTGAGTCCCCTGACATGTGTTTTGAAAAGGAGCCGGAATGATAATGCCAGCGAAGCCGACATCCGTCCTCATGTTTATTTATACGTCAGGCAGAACAGTTCTTCCTTGCCCTTAGCTAAAGCCTAGTGCGATTAACAAGCCGCTAAAACACTCACTATATGTTGTCAATGTTGACTTCTACCTGATGTTTCTGGCGTTGTAAGAGCTCTTGGCTGATGACCACCTATGGTATGGCGATATTTATGAAGCTGCTTATTGCTCTGAGAGGGCAGGGTCCGATTATTGAGACTGGAATATATCATACACTAGCACTAGTGACCACGCCGAGAAGAGGAGGAAGATAATGGTTAAATAGCACTGTTTGTGACATTCTCCTTCCTTTTTACCGAATCAACCACATCAAGATTTTAAGTCCGTAGTAGACGACGAACCCCCCATACATCATATCTCCTGCGATCCCTGCCAAACTCTGCCCCCTTTGTCTGTGGAAATAATAGTGTCAACAACGCAGTCAAAAGCATAATCCCTGAGAATAATCCCAGAATGCCACTGAGACCAATAGCGTCCTCCACTCTCCCAAAGGAAACGAAGTCAGATTTGCACCACACTTGCCTACTGTGGAGGAGATACTGTGCGCCAACCCATGAACTTGAGTTGGGAAGACATTAGCCGTAATTAAGGTGGTCGCGTTCGGGCCGGCGTAGAGGATAAACTGCGAGATGGTGAAGATGACTGTCAACCCGGCGGTGGAGGTGTGTGCGCTGGGGGCACTGATTCCGGCCCAGGAGGCGTAGAGAACACAGTTAAGGAGACAACTCCAGCATTGTTGTCGGACGCGGCCGATGCGGTCAGGGAGGAAGATTCCAGCGTTGAAACAGGGGAGATAGTCCTATCCTCGTCAGGCGTTTTCTAGCTTGGTTAGTCAATGGGAGGCTAACGGCTGATTGGACAATCAGGTTCCCGATGGCCAGTTTCCAGAGCTTTTCGGACGGAGTTGCGCTGGTAGAGTACCTGATTCTGGAGAGGATGATGCTCTGGTTCAGGTTGATACCGTAGTAAGCGATGTCACTGGGAGAGTGACTTTCCACACGCAAAGATTGAGCTAAGAGTGCTTACAAAAGAAACCAGTAGGCAGATGTGGCGAAAAGAGCCTTCGCATGATTGCACCCTTTGAAGTAATCGCAGAAGTCAACCCACTGCTCCTTCAAGCCGCGCTTCTTGCTGGTGTTTTTGATCGATCACATCTGCACCAATTTGGTTTCATCATCAAATACAGCGCCTTGACCTCATACATTGCTTGTACTGAGCAGTCTCTCCGATCGTAAGTCCGGCATACAAAGTCAAAGCAGCAAGGACGATGCCAATGCCCAGTAGGAGGCGCCACACCCACTCCAGACGACTCAGGTCGGAGGCGATGGCACTGTTGAACGCGCGAAGCAGAATCTGGAACACGATACATGCACAGACGTTCCCGAGACCGATGTTCGAGAACACAGACAAGACTTGGACGGCTCGAGTTCCCAGGGCGACTTTTCCGCCGACAAAGTAGAGGACAATGGGTAGTCTATCTTGTTAGTTCCCCTATCGCAATGCAGACTGGGGGGCAGTACACCAGTCACCTAACGCCCTCGAAAGACATATTCTTCCAAGGCATCACGATGAACATGGGGTGCCGACAATGGTGATCAATATCTCGTTGCCGTACATGGTGTGTCGACCCCATATACCACCGAGTACTCCAAAATGGATCAGGCCAACGACCATTCCCAAGTTTAAGCCTCCTTTCATGATATCGCTATCGACGGCTGGCACTGAGCCTTTGTTTTCCTCGGAGTAGAGATATTCCAGCATAGGCACCACTGAACTGGAGTAGAGGTTGACGGCCATGTACATACAAATAATAGCTAACGTACCTAGACCAATTGTCAGGTTGAGATATCCATCTGCGAAGATACCAACTCCTGCTGTAAGCAAAAATCACAGCCTAGACCCAAGTGAGGCCATTGCGCTTTAGAATCAACGAAAAACAATATATTTTGCCTTTTTTTAAGTGGAAGCAAATGTGCCTGAAACCGTCTGCTTGCCACCTGACCCTCATCCTGACAAGATCCCATTTGTATATTGCCCCGGTAACTCTAACTCTCTTGCAGCCACTTCCCCAGTCATGGCCACCTCGACCTCGCCTAACTGTTGGCACGACTTCAACACGTCTGTCAACTGTGCAATATCCCTCAGATAAACACGCACAAACGGCCCCATCGCACCAAGTTGCCGCACAAAAGGATCTTTGATAGGACATAAAACACGCACCGCGCCCTCCCCAAATATCTCAATCAACACATGCTCCAAGAACAGTACATTCGGCTTCCCATCCGCAGTCGACTTGGCACTCATCCCATGGTCCCCGGATACTCCTACAAGCGCCATCCCAGCCAACTGCCGGATACGATCATCAATTGCACCCATAAATTCATCCGCCTCCTTGCTCCCGGGTGCATGCTTATGCTGGACGTAATTCGATAGCGCCAAGTAGGAAATCCGCTCTTCCTTCTTGCAATGACTTGATCCCCGCGTCAAGAACATACGACGGCCAGTCACCAAAGTACTTACTCGGAGCACTCCGCCCTATCCAATCCTCGACATTTGTTGCTACACTGGGGGGTTGGCCAACACCCAGAGGGTGAGGACTGATGGGCTCGGGGACACCCTTCTTCTCAACCTACGGCGGACGTGAGTGTACAAACTGGCCTAGACAAAATCAATCTTCCAGTCACCTGGTTGTATTACGTATAGCCACTATTTTCACAATAACCGTGAAGAGCAGGTATGCCATATAGTGGGGATATCAAATGCCATCTAGCAGAGATATTGAGTACTTAGTATTGATATTGATGCTAGTGATTCAATATTAATACCATACGATGCTTCTTTGATATCCCTACTAGATGAGAATTCAATATTGATTTGATATACCTCCTAGATAATGATTTGATATTGATACTATGAGTCAACATTAATACTATATGGATATTCAATATCTAGTTAGGGTGAACGCAAATGTTTAGTGACTCATTCTTTGATACTTGTACGATCATATGGCAGTTCGCTCACACGGGCTTTAGCAGTTGTTTTGTTTTCATGGAAGTATCCACAGGTTATTATGACTTGGCCTCACATACCAGGCCATGTTAATAACGTCAATGAGACATACGCCTAATTTTGTCACCCGCATATTTCGCCATCTCAGGCCCCTCAAGAGGATGAATAGGGTTACTTTCCAACTGGAACGGCTTGATATTGGCAGACGCTTGCTGGATCTGAATCTCGGTCTGTTGTTGCAAGCTGCGAGGTATTCTACCCCAGCAAAAAGGGACTTGCTGTTCAGCGGTCTGACTTTCAGGAGCTGGAGATTCCCGGCCGGCTAACTGAGAACACAGTTTATTTTCCATTTTCTCCATCTTAGACTGGTACAACTCGTTGTTTGATCGCGTGATGGCTTTGCGGAAAGGACAGGGAAACAAGGAATAATAGGTTCTTGTTGTCACCCTTTGGTGTTTTGTAGCCCTTACGGCAATTAGGTAGCTGTTTTATGGTTCTGAAGCGGAAGAAGTTAGTGTATATTGCATTGTAGAACTAAATTTTTGGAATTTCCTTTGATGAAAGGTAGAAAAGGATTATGAGAAGATAAAGCTTACGTTGTAAGGGGTATTTAGAGTAGCTTAGGAGCAGCTGTGAGATCAAGTCAACTCTGGCTTTGCGATCATAGGTACCATTAAGTATCTTCCTCTTGATATATACCATCGGCAGACCCCATATCTGCTGTGTAGTAAGTTATCATTGATCCATGGGATTTCGATCATCATGACGTCTACATTTAATTGTTAAGGTGGACTTGCTGCTGTGGCTAGATCGTCGGACAATTTGGACCCAAGAAATAGGAATGGGGTGTAACCAGTCATTTTTCAGCCTAAACCGCAGTTTTGCTGCAAGAAAGTTTATCATCTAATCAGCCCATCCAACAACTTTTAACAGCGAGCATGCGTCACCTGACCATGAAAGTGTTCCTTCGAGGTTAACAGAAACGCTGTCTTAGGATTTGGGCATTGAGGGATAGGTGAATAAAACAATGATTGGATTTAGCCTAGACTGGTCATGGATTGGATATGGGGTTGATCCGCATGATGTTTGATCCAACCCATGCAGAGTATGGGTTGATCCACTATCTAACCCACCCTCGTATCCATGTGGGTTGGACTGCGGATAATGGATATATCCATACTACCTAGTCAGGTGACCTCCAGTATTTAGATTACTACCTATTTTTCTAGTATTCTAGCCACATTACCAGGGTATCTATATATTTTATTTGATAATATGATAATTAACTATATACATATTATATATTACCTATTATAGAGGTTAAAACAGCCTTAAATAGAGGGTTATGGGTGCCCCCTAAGCTTAGGACAAAAAGTGGTGTGAAGGTATATATATTTTACCACCACCATCCTAATCACCATCATCTAAAATATAACATAACCATAACTCTCCTTTTTTTGATAAGCCTAATATTTTACTATATACTTAGATAGATATAGTTAGTGTCTATCTATATATATAAAAATACATCTCTATCGAGGCCTAGACTAGGCTAGATAAGGTTATCAGTTCTTAGAGCTCTTAGGTCACATGCACCCAATGGTTTAACCTATATCCATGCAGATTAGGCAGGTTCAACCCATATCCACATGGGTTGGATCAGGCCTACCTAGATCCAACCCAAACTGCGGATTGGGTAGGTTGGATATGGATTTGCGGATTGGGTCAGCCAGTCTAATTTAGCCACCACCATCCCACATGGAGCCGGATCAAGTTTTCAATAAGGATACGAAATTACCAGGTCATATCTCAGACATAGATATTAGTACAATGCGTGGCATCCTGAACAAGGTAATGTACCTCGCATTAACCCTCAAATATGCAGCTTTCCGACCAGCCAAGAAGCCACATAAGTGCGGGGCGGATGTGGGGTGGGGTAACCAGAAAAGTAGGATCACGTAATGCTATTGTTCTGTATCATAACAGCGTCAGGAGTCTGACTTCTTGATTAACCTGGAGCAATAAAAGGCCTATTAACTTAGTTGAATAAGGTTAAACAAAATAAGTTGCTGAGAATAGCCTGTCTTATTTGGCTTGAACACTAAAACATTGTAGCCGAAAATATTGAAAAGAACGTTGGCTCACAAGCGAATTTTCATGGCAACTGTAAAGGGCTCATCTATTCACCACAGCTAGTTGGATACCATTGTCTTGGTGAACATGATGACGCTAGTATCAGGGATGAGTCCAGGAAACTGGGGGAAGCTGTGCCCTCGCAGCTTCTCCCAAAAAAAGCAGCAGTTTAACGAAATGCACAGTCCATGCCTGCAGAGTAGGAAACAGTGCATGAAGAAGGCAAAGCCAACGGGTGAGCCCTTGTAGTAGTGAGGAGGATGAAGCCGCGCATTTAAGGCCTCAAGCTCTGTGATTCGCTCTTGAGTTTGGCGCCACCGTGTGGGCAGGTCTTAAAGTGTGGTGCACCTATCTCGCCGCGGTTGTGTAGGCAACGATTTTGACACTGGAAGCCGAAGTCTCCCTCTGCCACTCCACCACTCTGTACTTGTTTGCGTTTTGGGACGCCTTTGTTCTGGTAGAAGTTACGATGATATGGCTAGATTAAGGTTTGCGGCGCGCTGCTCATAGCCGACTGAGTATTGTCTTCCAGCATCATGCGTGCGTTGCCGCCTGCCGAGTCGAAGTTGAGAACAATCAGTCTTGGCTTATGTGCCTTAATAAACGCCCTGGCCTCCGAAAGGGTCTCAACGTTGAGGTCTTGGAGCAATGAAAATCTGGAGTGGAGAGTGTAGGATATGCCTGCTCGTGGTGGGATGATATCCTTCTGAAAATTTGTGATACAATTGAACCATTCTGCAATACCAACAGCCCGGGCGCTCCGCTGTGGCCAACGTTTTCGCTGACACCTCTTACCATGAATGAAATCATTATGAAATGGCATGTAGTTGCCCGTATTGGGCAACACGCGAGATTTGCTGAGACAAATGAATAACTGGACATAGCTCAGGTTGTTGGCGGCGCCTGTAACGACCATGTCGATTTCCTTTTGACAGTAGACTCATATAGGCTCAATGCATCACCGCGGTTGGGGACGCACATACAGAGTCGAACTAGTAGGCCAGACCTTCCCACTTTAAGTGCTAGGGGAGGATCCAAGGTCAAGCGCATGCTGAACTTCCTGCAAAGTATGCATCGCATCTAGGTGTTGGGTGACTGGTGTCATGCCGGTCGTCAGTGAGCGAATCGGGGAGTACAGCGATGCGGTGGGGACCTCTCATTATTATGTCCATCTAGGTAGCCGGCTAGTTCGAGCGCCTCATAGGTGCACGTCAAAGACTGCCCGTGACCGGGGCTCATCAATATTGCTCCTCTAGGCGAGGCACAGAAGAAGCGAAAATGAAAATACCCCGGTTAGATCATAAAAAAGCCGTACCTAGTTGTCATGGGGAATCTCTTGTCGCCATGGCTGGACATCGAAGCGACCGTTGGGGATATCCTGGTAGACATTATGAGATCCCAAACTTCGTTAAAGTGCCAGCTCCTGGGCCACGTTCAGCCTTCCCCAAGATTGATGGAATTGGTACCGTCAGGATCGGTTAACTGGGGTCTACCGGCCATGCACGCCACTTGACCAGTGTCTTGAAGGCAGCGGGAATGAACTTATCCCCGGGTCAAGACCAAACGACTTCTTTACATCCAGAGGATAGGGAGCCACCACCATCATCAGCTGAAAGCATTCCTATCGTCTAGTTGAGCTTGCCCACGGCCTGGATAATGTCCAAAGGAGGGAAATCTTGCGAGCATGCTGCTCTAAGCAGGTCCCACCAGTTGGCGGATGTGGCTTTGGGTCGTCCATACACCAGGGACCGACAACTGAGCGGTCTACCAAAAAAAGACCAAGCTGTCCTCCACAATGTATTCAATTTCCATGTGTGAGGCGCTGAGGGTGTGCTTGAGAGCCTTCATGTCCAGCGGGTTCGACGTATGACCCCTCACCGCGGGACATTGATAAATCGTTAAAACTGACAGAGTGATTGGGTTAGCCCGTCTATTGTAGCCACTCGGGTGGGGGTCCGGACCCCGCGGACACGCCCACAAAGGGCGACTCCCGCTCAACCCGCACCCCTGCGAGTTCGGGCTGGTTGGTCCCGGTTTCTGCGGGTTGTGATGCCACTCTAAGAGAATGTCTCCATTATTCTCGTCCTATTTGATTCATGCCTGATATGTAGCCCCAAGGTCCAGCCAGAAATAGGGATCCTGGCGGAACTAGACCGAACGTGGATGGTGTAATTTGTATTGTGGATGAGTCAACCGAGGACCGAGGTTCTCTGAGACACGAATGTCAGAGAAGTTATATCTCACACATTCACCAGTCTTTGTAAATCCGATCTAAGTCTGGAAGAAGAATACCAAAATGGGGGATATGCAACGAAAATACCCTACCTGGCACGACTACTTTGAATTCATCA